ATATATATATATATATATATATATAAGTATATAATTGGTATATATGGAATGAATTCCAATAACCAACAATTACTATTCTTCAAAGAGTGCTCAATACAAAGAAGAGCAGATATAATTATTATTTATAAAAAAATTATAACATAAGTATGTTATAAAATCACTACAAAAATAGACATTTTGTTTCAACACACTCGGTGTCTTATCAAGTGATGATGTTGAAGATATTGATAAGACACCGAGTGTGTTGAAACAAAATGGCTATTTTTGTAGTGATTTTATACTTATGTTATAATTTTTTATAAATAATAATTATATATATATATATATATATATATATAATAGCAGGCCACTCGTATTCTACATGTCTACTAGGGCGGCTAGCCAATCCCTAAGGCAGACGCTTGCTCAGTCACATTTGGTTTTGTTTAACACCCACAGAGCACCCCCCCTGTGGTTTCATACTGGAAGTATGCTGAGCAGACCTTAGTTACAGTTTCTGTGAGAGAGCGTGCTAGCGTGATCAACACTCTGAACAAGGTCAGCACACTCAAACTCTCAGTCACGATGACTTGTGACTTCATGCTAACACGGCTATCGACGCTCCCCACCCCAAGTGTTCCGTCTACCCAATTTCACTCGCAAGGCTTGGGTCAACCCGTGGTATGGTTTTCAGACACTTTCCAAAATTGCGCATGCTGGGATCGTCCCTCTGTAGACCGATAAGTCTCTTTCCTGACAAATCAACCGCGGTGAGATTCGAACCCGGGTCTCATAGTCAGAAAGTGAACGTTCCAACCACTCGTCTTTGGATTTCCATGTCTCACTTTCCTTCCTCTGTTAGAACACTTCCTAGATATTTATATTCTTGTAATTTCTTGACTTTGGTATAAACAAATTTGTAATTTGCATATTGGTCTGTTTTTTTTTTTTTTCAGCACATTCTATTTTATGAATAATACAGGCCTGGAAAAAAAGTTCTTGCCCACACAGAAGGAGTCGTCGAGCGGCTGCATCAAGCGCAGAAGAATTTGCGGGGGGTGGGGTACACGAATACATAGGCCTACAGTAATTTTAATACAGATGTGTATAATTGACTCGGGCAACCGAGCACGCGCTGTATTATTTTCACTGTCTCGATCAACTGAAGTCTGTGTGTCTGCTTCTGAGATCTGGGCAGGAACTTTTTTTTCCATCCCTGCAGTAGACCGTAGTCAACCGCGAAGCAGTGAGATACCCTGATATGATTTTTAATGAAACTATCTGAAAAAAAACCCACTAAAGTCAAATCGTGAAGTGGTGAGGGACGACTGTAATCTTAACCTGTTCAGCGGTAAAGGATGTTAACTATACTGTATCAAGCGTATGATGTGCAACTTCCCCTTTTGGAAATGTTCACCATAACTTCATTTTGTCCTCCGTTAGCAGAATACTGTGATTATAACCTGCATTTGAGCGATCTTATCTATTATAATACGTTTAATGAGGCAACATGCTGACAGAAAATGTTAAGTTTTCACCTTAAAATAGGAAGATGAGTAAGACAAGAATTACGAAGAGCAAGAAAAGTCAGGAGTTTATGGACAGCCATGATCACATAATTTGTGAAATGACATGGCACAAAAAGTATCTTACTGTTATTGCTTTTTATTTTATTTTACTTTTACTGTGAGTACATCCAAGGCTCCAGAGCCACTCGAGGTGGAGAGTTACCGAGTGAGATTGTTGTCAGAGAGGAAGAAATAATAAGTGCACATTATGAGGACATGTAGAATAGATATCGGTGGTCTTGGAATTGAAAAGACCAAGATTTTAATAATCACGGAAGCATCCCCTCCGGAGTTTCTTCCACAAAGTATTGGATGGGGAACGTTTCTCGGTCCGACCTACTTCCTCAAATCACAGCAACGGACCAGGTTTTGTGAATGGATAGCAGAAGAGAGGGGGGAAAAGAGATAGTAAAGAGTCATTGATTAGAGCCACAAAAGTTAGGAAGTCGTGGAGAACCATCAACATTAAGAGTCATAGTACATAAAAGAAGAATTTAGTCCTTGCAGAATATCTCTTGTACTATTTTCAGCTTGCACACAGCAATTAAAAAAAGCATCGATGCTAAAGGCTATTCAAGGACACGTTGCCCAGTGGATAAAAGCGTTGGTTGAATTAATCCGAAAAGTGACTTGACCTAAAGGGTTTGGAGTTCAATACCTGTCAAAGCAGAGGTGAACAGAAACTTGGAAAGTTGAGTTACTAAATGGAATTAACTGAGACAAGGCATAGCAATTGGAACTAGAACAATCTACACCCGTGGACTAAATAAAGGGTTCAGTTCGTATATCATCATCTGAAGAGGGAGCGTACAAATGCTGAAGCGTCGTGAATAATACGATAAAGACGTGGACAACAGTCCGAACAAAGTAAATAGTTACAACACCACATCTTAGGAATATAGATATATGTTGATATTTTTTATTGTCTCGTTAATTAAATTGCCAAGACGCATTTAAACATTGTGAATACAGTTAAGTGCTTTTGATTCTGGAACTATGATTTTATTCAGCCAGTCTTCAGCTGTATTTTTGTCTGAATTTCTGTGATGAGGAGTTATCATTATAAGGACAATAGTCCGAATATAAATAGTTTAAAGAACAATATTTCACTGTCTTTGTAGGTAGTAAAATCCGTTTTAAGTAACCACAGAAAAAAGAAAGTATTTTTTGTCATACCACTCTTTACATAATAGTAGGCATCCGTTTATTTCGCGAGATAAAGATAACGCCCTGTTTGATTAAAATTCATTCCTTTGGTGGTGAGACTAGAGTGACCTCTCCAAGGCACAGGCCTGGACGATGATATATGGAGGCCGTCCGCTGGCCAGACCACATGCCCCGACCCTGCCACCTTCTTGGCTGTACCAGCACAATCACTCTTATACTCTGTAATCTTCTCTATCAAAATGTATGACTAAATTTAGTCCTTTAAAGTTAGCTAAAAATAAGTCAAAAACGACAAAACCTTTTTATACAAGAATTCACCCAATGCCAGGCTCAAGAGCCACTCAGGGCAGAGGCTTACTTTGCAAATAGTGATGATGAATAAGTCGTGATAAGGGCAAAAGAGTTGTTGACAGCAAGATATGAAGATAGTCTACCGTCCGGTTCACGCTCCTCTCCTTTGATCAAGAATAGAGGTCTATCCCTTGTTTTCTGTTTAGTGTTGGGTTTCTGGTTGCTTCTAAAGTTTTCAACTTATCTTTCGTTACCAGTGGCCCATTGCGTCTTAACGGTCCTATTTTTTTTCCTTCAGAAGGAGTAATAGGTTCACCAATTATCCGGTTCGTAATCCTCATTGCCCCTTACTTGAGGTGAATTGATTGTTTTTTAAAAAAAAGGATGGACATAGATAACGACCGGCCCTTGACTTAAAGAGTTTAAAAATGTAGTGTTCAATGAAGTATTTACATTATTCGGACTGTTATCCTCATCTTCATTGCCATAATCACAACGTTTCGGTCTTTGTACGCTCCTTCCTTCTTCAGGTGGTTGGAATTTTTGAACCGAACTCTTTATCTCGTCCACCGGGTTTAGATTGTTCTAGTTCCACGCGCCGTGCCTTTTCCAGATGTCTCAGTTATTTCTTTTTAACTTAACTTTTTTTTTTTTTTTTTTTTTTTTTTGTTTTTTTGTCTGTTTCACTACTGTTGTAGCCTGGTATTGAACTCACAACTCTTTGGGTCTAACCAACCGTCTTTATCTTGTAGGCACATGGCCCAGTGGATATAGACAGATATTGTAATGTTAAAGGAAGCAACTATTCGGGAATCTGTTTCACAATGAGAAAAAATAAATTTTGGAACTTTATTCTTACGAATGGAATAGTAAGAGAATTCGGACGATGCGACTCTGTGGTAGTAGAATGCGAAAACGTCTGAAGTGGAGGATTTAAAGGAATGGTAAGATTCATCGTCGAAATTGGCACAGTGAGATACGCCAAAAAGAAACAAATCAATTTGCCACTTATTTTCTATACAATGTGAGCGAGATAATGTTATCATTAAAATGATTGTTTTTACTATTATGATTACGCTTTCAACTGAAACACGACAGCCACAGTGATATCGATTTTGCAATAATCATCGCTTTTACAACCGTATTATTAAGATCATGCCTTATATTATGACTCTAGTAATTACATTATTATGAGAACTGTTTATATCACCTTCGACACAATGTTATTTCATTGATAACCCATTTTATATTATAATAATGGAGTGTATATATTGATTTCTTATAAGTATTATGATGGTCACCCCAAGATGCTAAACTCGCTTACGGCTACACCATGTTGAAAACATCGGTTCCCTTACGATTACCGATCTTAAGCAGCTTCGAGTCTAATAAGTACCTTGATGGGATGATCGCTTGGAAATGCCAGGCGCTGTAAGTATGGATGTGCTGTTTGTATAAAAGAGATTACGGTTATATAGCGTTGAAACATCGTTTCCTGTACGATCACGGAAGTTAAGCAACGTCGAATCAGGTCAGTATATTGATGGGTGACAGCTTAAAAATGCCTGGTGCTGTAAGCTTCGATGTGCGGTTGGTACGAAAGACTTATACATCGCGTTTAAACACCGATTCTTGCTCGACCACGGAAGTTAAGCAACGTCGAGTCTGGTCAGTAAATTGATGGGTGACAGCTTAAAAATGCCTGGTGCTGTAAGCTTGGATATGCGGTTGGTACGAAAGGCTTACATGTAGCGTTTAAACACTGGTTTCCGTTCGATTACCGAAGTTAAGCAATGACGAGTCTGATCAATACATTGAATACTAGTAACTTGGATATGCGGGCGGCATAAAGGGTTTAAATTAATATGACGTTTAGACACCGGTTCTCATACTAGTACTGAAGTTAAGCAACGTCGATCCAATTCAGTACCTAGATGGGTGACCGTTTGGGAATTTCATTTGCTGTAAATTGAATGTGCGGTTGTTAGGAAGGACTTACGGTCATAATAGCGTTGAAATACAAGTTCACATAGGATCACCGAAGTTAAGCAACGTTGAGTCTGATCAGTACCTAGATGGGTGACCGTTTGTGAATTCCAGGTGCTGTAAGTTTGGATGTGCTGGTGGTATATTGGATAATGGCTCACGAATCCATATCTTCATAAGTTGGGAAAAGTATGAATCCACCTCTTCTACCCCAGCTATGGGTTAATTAGTAAGACTTGTATAACTAAAATATCATTATATCTCCCACAGACTTGTAAGACTTGTATCACTAAACCATAATTAACTTTCCCACAGAAAAAATATTTCATGTTTTTTTAAATAATCTGCAAAAGGTTGATAAACCGTAAAAAAAAACGAAACAATCTATCAAACAATCAAAATGCTAGCTACTATTTGGAGACTTCAGAAAGAAGCAAATATAGGAATTTAATTATCTGGGAAGTGTTAATTTTTCTTCTATATGCCATGTTCCTTATGGACGTTGATGATCATGGCTCGCCACAATTTCCTTTCCTTTGTCTTATCTCCATAAAAGCTGTTCTGCCATCTATTTACTCAAGCCATATCATTTTTGTTGTTTTCATCTATCGTTATTACTTTCAATACGCCTTGTGAGTATCAAATTTTATAAACACTCTTTCTTCATTATGTGCCCTTGAAATTTCAACTATCTGATGTTAAGTACAAGTGTGCTTTTTGTTTCCATTTTCTCTAAAACTTCATCGTTGCTCACATGTTCAGTCCATGGTATCCTCAGCATCCTTCTGTAGAACCATATTTCTGTATCTTCAAGTCTCTTCTTCATCTGTGAGGTGATAGTCCACTACTGCGATATAAAAGGATTGATATTACATAACAGTTCAGAACTCTTTTCTTTGTCTTTAAAGATATTTTCCAGTTTTTTAATACTTTGCTTAGCTTTTGAAAGACATATTCCACTATCCTAATGCGCTTTCGAACTTCTGTGACACATTTTGCATCCTCTCTTAAAACACTTCCCAGGTATTTAAATTTTTGTACTTGTTTGATTTTAGTATCCGTGATTATTAATTTGTATGGTTGTCTGTTCAATTTCGCTGGACCGTGAATTCTGTCTTCTTGCAATTGATGCTTAGTCCTTTCTTCTCGCTTTCTTTCATTGACTCCTGTATGAGTTTTCGTGTCTTCTATCAACACCGTGTCATCTGTATATCTAAGGGTGCTAAAATTGCCGGCGCCAATAATGAACCCTGATAGGGCTTGTAGTTTTCTCAAGATCCTTTATTTTCTCAGGATCTTATTTGTTAAATAAGTACACCTGTTTCAATTATATATATATATATATATATATATATATATATATATATGTGTGTGTGTGTGTGAAAAATATTTTAGAAAATAGGAAAGAACTCGTTAGGTAAATAATCCAAAGTTCTTTAGTATTTTTGTTATTATTTTTAAAAAAATAGTGCTCGATACAAAAGTAGAGCATAAATGTAATTATTTATTTAAAAATATGATTCCAACAAGCTACATAAGAGTTCTCATGTTTCAAAACAATAGCCGAAAAATCTGTTCCATCTTCAAGCGAAATTTTTGGGGAATCCAAAAAAATTTCGCTTGAAGATGGAACAGAGCTTAGTACTTTAATTCAATTTAATTCAAATAATTATATTGAAGTTTTCAGCTCTTGTTTTGAAACATGAGAACTCTTATGTAGCGTGTTGGAATCATATTTTTAAATAAATAATATATATATATATATATATATATATATATACTTAATTCATTTTTATCCGTATAGAGGCGCTTGCTTCTGGATTACTATAATTTCCCACCAAGTTTACTTAACAGTTCCAACAGCTCTTTGTGATGTACTTTAACAAACACTTTTGCATAATCTTTAAAACATAGGTATACACCATTTTTTTTTTTTACAGTGAGGGTGACTCTTTACAAAGCTCAGGGGCCGCTCGATGTAGAAGGTTACGTTTGGTGCCCATTTGTGTGTATAGGTGAGTAGTTACTAAATAGAATAATCACACGATAATACTTAGGACAAGAACAACACACACAAGATTCACCAGCGGAGCGTAGAAATAGTAGTCAACTGGTAGAAGTAGTTAAATGAATTCCCAAATAAATCTCCAACTGCAGGATATCTACCAACCGCCCCACGCTGTAAGATGTGGTACAAGGCCGAATTTAATGTGGGGTATCTGAGCCCTTAGGCTCAGCCAAAAATTCACCGTAAATCCCGTATAAAACGGCGTCAGGTAGCTGTTTCCCGAAACCAGACTCTGCCCTTCGACATAGCTTCGTCTGGAGATCCTCTGTGCCCAAAGCAAAGAGGTTGACCAGCACAGCACAGCAGAAATAGTAGTCAACTGGTAGAAGTAGTTAAATGAATTCCCAAATAAATCTCCAACTGCAGGATATTTGCCAACCGCCCCACGCGGTCAGATGTGGCGCAAGGCTGAATTTAACGTGGGGTTTCCGAGCCCGTAGGCTCTGCCAAATATTCACCGTAAACCCCGGATAAAACGGCGTCAGGTAGCTGTTTCCCTAGATGAGATTCTGCCCTTCAACATAGCTTCGTCTAGAGATCCTCTTTACCCAAACGCAGAGAGGTTGACCAGCACAGCCGGAGACGAATCTCCAACTGCAGGATACTTATTGTATATAAAATACAATTGTGGCACAAGGCCGAGAAATGGGGAGGGGTTGAGGCTGGTTATCACTAACTACCTTATACCTAGCTAATCTGATTCACGACCCATTCACACATTACAGTTTACATATTCACCATAAGAATTCGTCCGTCATCACTCAATCCTCCATCCACCATAATACCGCATCCTCTCCAGGGAAAACCTACAAAACGCGCCCTCGTGCCTTAACAATATAATGATAATAAATATATATATATATATATATATATATATATATAAAAATTCTAATAAGGAAGAATGGGAGGGGAGGGGGATGCGAATGTCCAACTGCAGACCAACATACAGTATTTACTACTGTATCTATGTGAATGGGGGCATACCCATTATCGTCCGTAGATATGCTAAAACAGTGAGATAACGATAAATCGTAGCCATGAATAGGTTAAGATTGCAATGATCGGGGAAACATCCTGTTGGAAGTTGATTCCACAGGGCAGTGGTTAGCGGAAAGAAGCTGCTCGAATAGAACTTCTCACTGTAGGAATATGGAGGCAATGCGGATGGTTTGCTACTATGTAAGGGGTATGTCGTGTTCTTGGCACGAAGGTTTGATTTGGCGGGCCGAGGTAATGCAGTTCGTCCGAGCACTGATTTTGCATTTGTATTGCTTTTTCTGATAACATTCTGGGCATAAATATTGCATTACTTGTTCCAGTGTCTTTTACTTTAACGAACCCGAACTGTTCTTTTTTGTTTTTGTTTTTTGGTTTGTTTTTTTTTCTTATTTCTGGTCTAATTCTGCTGCATGCAAGAAGTTCGGAAGGGTACCCCATCTGCATTTGAAAGAGCGATAACAACTACTGAACTTGATAAAACTACTTTCCTGAAAAATTGCTTTAACAGAAAGATTTTTTATATATTTTCAACAGAACTGGCTGTTAGGTCATTTAGTGCCAAATGTTTCTTTGTAAGGAAACGGCTAATATTACCATCACCATCACCAATAATAAACAGCAGAAAGTGTGACATGGAAATCCGAAGGTGAATCTGAATAGAGAATGGCGCTTTCCAAAAGCTAAATATATATAAAAACAGTAAAAAAAAAAAACCAGTAAAATTTCTTAAGGAACAAAGATTAATGAACTGCTATATAATATTGGTTTCTATATGATAATGTATGCTGGACAATCTCATCATGAGTCAAGACGAAACTTCAGGCAACAGAAATGTGGCTCTACAAAATCCTTCGGACTGAAAGTTGCGCGTAACGACGAATTTAATACAAAGAAGGAAAACAAAATGTACGCTTATACTTCGAAATGGGAGACAATTAAAATTTCTAGGGTACGTGATATTATCCAAATATTAATCTACGCCCCCGTTTCTTTTTTTTCTTTCCCCATTCTCATCTAACAGAATCACTACTCTCCCAAGTCAACGTATACAACGAAAATATCAAGAAATCAAAAGAAAATGGTTGAATCTGTGAAGTTGTGGATCAGGGCAGACTGGGATCTCTTAAGTCGATACTTATATATAGACACGGTGGAGTAATGGATAGCGGTTTGGATTGGGGAATCGCAGAACCGAGTTCGAATTCCAGTCGAATCCATTACATTCACTTACGTGCTAATACACTTGGGAAGGGTATGAATCCTATTCTTCTCCCTCCAGCTATGGGTAAAAAAGCAGGACAGACTTGGTTCTATAGCCTTGGATGGCAACTGGTCTAGGAGAAGGACAACTCTGAATTCAAAACTTGCGGAGGGTCGTTTGGGAACCTTCTGGCATTCGGTGCACCAGGTCTCTGTATTCGTCTCTTCAAAAAGTGTGGATGGTCCTGCACGAGGCCTTCACCACTATAATCAAATCTCATGTGCCGGTGTCGGGCTGTCGGTTTCCTGAAACTGATCTGCTTGACCTTATACGTCGAATATCGACGGGAGAGTCGACTATATATATATATATATATATATATATATATATATATATATATATATATATATATATATAAGACCTAACACAATACATTACTCACTGAAAAGAAAATAATCGTGGTTATCATTACACAAAGGAAACAGCCATATTAAATAACATAAAGCTGGGAATAACCTATCTAAAGAGCTTGTGTAAGTGTTTTTTTCTATTTCCATGAATCAGACGTTAAACGTAGGAGAACGTTATCACCTTCTTATCATTTCTTTCTTTCTTTTCCTTCTTTTTGTTATTATGTATGCTTTTTTTTCTCACTAAAATCAAAGCGCATGTACGATATATCGTTTTTTCTTCTGTCTTTCCTCGCAAAGAAGACGGAACGGTCCATTTTTTATCTGATGTAATGGCAGTGCATAATGCACATAGTAACTAACGGCAAGACAAGCAGAATAATCTGATGATGATTTATGTCTCGTTTATCGTTTCCTGTCGGCTGTATATTCGTGCACCCATAAG